GCCTCCTGCCTCCTGCCTCCTGCCTCCTGCCTCCTGCCTCCTGCCTCTGCCTCCCAAGTACTAGGATTACAGACGTGCGCCACCACTGCCCAGCAGCCATCAGCTTTTTTATTGACAGGTTGCTTATAAGAGATTGTCTCTACAGGTTGTTGTCATTGTTTGGTTTTTGGTTGGTTTTTGCTTTTTAAAGACAGAGTTTCTCTGTGTTGCCCTGGCTGTCTAGAACTTGCTTAGTAGACCAGAGAGACCCTCAAACTCACAGAGATCCACCAGCCTTTGCCTCCCGAGTGCATGGACTAAAAGCATGCAGTACCATCTCTTGGCTTTTTCTTTTTCTTTGTTTTTAAAGCTTCATGAATTCACTTGTCATCCTTGGGCAAGGCCGTTCTCATCTTCTCTGTGCTGATTTTCGTATACATGCTGCCAGAGTAAGCACCATTAACCGTGTTCTTGATCAGTGTAGTGTTTGTTGGCTTAAATATTCATCAGCTGCTGTATGATGTTTTCAGTTTTACTGAGACAAAATACCTGGCAAAAGGAAACTGAAGGAAGGAAAGGTTTATTGTGGTTCGTGGTTTAAGGTAGTGTCCATCCTGGCAGGGAGAACATGGTGACAGTGGTTCATGACATTGCATGCAGTCAGAAAGAAGAGAGAGATGCTTGTCTTGCTTCTGTCTTTTTCCCTTTTTATCAAGTCTGGGCTCCAGCTTATGGGCGTTCATTCCTCCCTTACTGAAACCCCTGGAAATACCCTCAAAGACACACAGAGTCCTGTGTCTGAAATGTCCCCAATACATTCAATAGATAGTTAAATATAAATTTTATGGATCCAACCTCTTGCCAACTTGACACTCAAACTCATGTCATTTAAGCTGTAGTATTCCACCCTTGATTTTTAACATTCATGATATATCTCATAGTAATCATACAAAATGAATTTAGCTCTCTGTAAGCATCCCTGAAGTCTTAACAGTTCCAATGTTACTCAGAACCAAGATTGAGTGCAAGGTGTGATGGCATACACCCCTAATCCCAGCACTCGGGAGACAGAGCATGTGGGTTCTCTGAGATTAAGGACAACCAGAGCCTTGTCTCCAAAAAACCAAAGTCATATAAACAAACAAGCAATAATAACAAAAGCCCAAGGTCAGAATTTTCTCATACATTTGGAGCAGTTCCTTAACTGTTTTCCCTTTATGAGATCAAAACTAAGGTAGATACTTCAAGTCTACTATGTCACAGAGTAAACATTTCCATTCCAAAAGGAAAGACTACGAACACAGAAAGGAAACTAGATTAAAGCATGACTGAAACCCAGAACAAGCACTGGGTCTTGAGGCTCAATGTCTGGTATCTGACACTTGGTATAGCATCATCTGGGCTCTGGGGAACTAGGATAGCCCATCCACTCTGTTTTGCTGCCTGCAGTAAAGGAAGCCTCTTGTAAGCTGGCTCTGTTTCATATTTGTAGCTTTTCTTCAGTGGACATTCTCAGTCCTAGCATCTCCTGCTTCCTGGATGTGTTATTTTAGGGAATTCAACTCTGCTACATATTCTATTGAGGAACCTTGATAAAGCCTCTGACCACATCACCTTTGCTGCTGAACAACATGTCGATTCTAGTGAATCTGCTTTCTCATCACATAGACAGTCTGGCTTCCTTCTGCCTCATCTATAGGGGCCTGTGTCTTGATAGCTCACACTGAGAGGACTTCTCTATAGGATTATCTTGGAGCAGGGTTAAATCAAAATTCATAAATGTATATATTATTTATGTAATAAATAATAAATATATAGTGACATATATGTAATAATTTATTTGCATAATTTCTAAAGACAAAATTTTATCATTGTCAGTAGTTCCCTGACTCAGACAAAGAAACTCGACAAGTCCGGGTTTTAATTGATGTAAGCAAGACTTAAATGAGCCCATTCCTTTACACTAAGTGCAAATCAGTGCACTGAAAGGTAATGATCTGTGGGATAGTGAAGACAGTTCATGGAAATGTAATCACATGATTGAGGCACCTTGGCAACTTAGAAGTTGGCTGCCATAAATGAATGAACAGAATACCACAGTGTGAATTCCTGGCCTTTTACCTCAACTCATTCTTTACATAGAGGTTCTACTTTGTGTATGTTTGTATTGGTTCAGCAAAAGTCAGGAAAATAATTTTGTTGTATCAGAATGTTATTCAGTTTTGTATTATTAACTATGTTGTGTATAGTGGTGAACAGTTAACAGTAGTTTTATACTCCTTTTAAAAATAAGTAAGATCCACTCAGATGGCTGCATAAGTAAAGACATTTGCCACCAAACCTGATAATTGTTCCATCCCTGGAATCCAAATGGGAAAAAATGAGTCCTGCAAGTTGTCCTCCACACATGTATCCTCCTCTTACACATGAGAAAGAAGGAATGAATGAACCATACCTCAGCTAGAATGTCATGCTGTCTTCAAATTGCCTCCTCCAAACAACCATAGTACTTAGGGTTAGAGAGGTGACTCAGCTGTTTAGAGCTGTTCCCATGTGAGTGGCTCACAATCACCTATATAACTTCAGCTCCAGGGGATCCACGGTCCTCTTCTACCCTTGGCAGATACCAGTACTCACAGAGCGTGCACACACATAAACACATAAAAATAAATATTTTTTAAAAAGCAAAAAGTTTTAGTTAGTTGTTTGGCATGTCTGTGTGCGCGCACTCGCAAACGCATGCACACGCATGAGTGTCTATATGTGGAGGTGTTTTGTTTTTCAAATCAGGGTTTCTCTGTGTAGCTATGACTGTCCTGGAATTGACTCAAATTCATATCCCCGGTCTCTGCCTCCCAAGTGCTGGGATTAAAAGTTTGTACCACACCTGGCTTTATTTTTATGTTTATGGATATTTTGTGTGCATAGATGCCTATGTACCACATTCAAGCAGTTGCTGTAGAGGCCAGAAGATGACACTAGATCTCCTGGAACTGGGATTACAGATGGTAGTAAGCCACTCTGTAGGTGCTAGGAATTACACCCAGGTCCACTGGAAACACATCAAGTACATTTAACTGCTAAGCTCTCTTTCCAGTCCTTACTCCATTGTTTTTAATTCATCCTCACATGAGTCTTCAGGACATACGAAGAATGTAGCTTGATTCGTGCCAAGATAGAACACAAGTAACCTCTAGCCCAATTCTTAATAGATTCCTTTGTCTCTAAAACTTCATAGCCAGGCCTCCACTTTCTGGATTTCTCTCAGCATTCTAGTCTTCCAAACTCCCATCAGTAAGCTCGGCTTTCATCATTTGTCGGCTTCCCTAGTCAAGATGACAGTTCTTCCACATTGTTCCCATAAGTCAGTACTAAAGGCATATCAGCCAGTGTCAAGTTTATCATAGCTTGATTGCTAGGGATTAAACTCAGGTCCTTGTATTTATGTAACAAGTGTTCTTATCCAATGAGCATGCCCTTAAGAACCAACTTCATGCATTATGTTTCATGTTGCTGTGACAAATATAACAAAAGCAACTTTTGTCTTTAGCCTTTAATGGCTGAACTATGGTGCCAGCCCAACAAAAGCAACTTTTAAGGAAGAAAAGAACTTATTTTGCTCATGTTTTCAGGATGTAGTCCATCGTGAAAGGGAAAACATTGTATGTGTGTGTGGGGGGGGGAGTGTGAGGTCACACTGCACCATAGTAAAAAAGCTGAAAGAGTTGAATGTGAAGTGGGGGTTCCTTTGCTTTCTTCTTTTTCCATTTTTATTCAGGAATCATTCAGGGTGATCTGTCCTTCCTCTATTAAACTTCTCTGGGAATGCCCTCGGAGACAGCTCACTCCCATCCCTATTCCCATCCCTGGTCTTTTTTAGTTGCTTCCAAATCTAGTCAAGATGACAATGAAAATTAACCATCAGAAATGTTTTATAACAAAATACAAATACCTTGTATTGGTTCCACTGGAAAGTGTTTCCAGAACTTCCCAGTCTCAGTAACAAAACATTCATGTCTTCAGGTCTAAAATTCAGTGCAAACTCCAGAAAACTAAAAAGTTACAGACTTTTGGGTCTAGCCGGGCAGTGGTGGCGCAAGCCTTTAATCCCGGCACTTGGGAGGCAGAGGCAGGTGGATTTCTGAGTTCGAGGCCAGCCTGGTCTACAGAGTGAGTTCCAGGACAGCCAAGGCTATACAGAGAAAACCCTGTCTTGAAAAAAACAAAAAAATAAAAAAAATAAAAATAAAAAGTTATTTATTACTGATTGACTATTTATGTAGATATTACTTTGTTTATAATATAAGTAAATTGGATCCATGAGAAGTAAATTTTAATTCTGTATCTTGAATGTTAAGCTGATTGTATAAGAATGGTAAAAACAAATTATTTTTCTTTTATTTTTATACTCCTCAGATATAATTATCTGTACTTGTACTTTTCTTACATAAAATATTGTCATCTTTTTTTTAAGATGGGGTCATATGTAGCCCAGGCTGGACTGGAACCAACTATTTAGCCAAGGATGACCTTGAGATTCTGATCAAATTGTCCCTACATCATCAGTCCTTAGTGTTAGGATTATAGGCATGGATCACCATGCTGGATTTATGTGGTGCTGAGGATGGAACTCAAGGCTTCCTGTATATATACAGACAAGCAATGTACCACCAGCTTAGCCACACGCTAGGCTGGCGTTGTTATCTTTTGATAAAAACAGAGCTTATTTGTTGACAGAGCCTCAGCTGAATTTATGAAGGATATTTGTGTTAATCCAGTTTAGTGTGAAAAAGTCAGTTAGTGATTTGTGGCAGACATGATTCCAAGGCTCAGAATAATTGTCCCAGATCCTGCTTGGGGTGTTATGTAATATGCAGCATATAAAATCTATAAAGGTGCTCAACTTCCTAACACATCTGGCCTCAAGGCTATGGTAAAGAATATAAGAATTTACACATTTTAGACAGAAAAATACTTATAAGAATGTACAGAGATGAAGTATTGTTTGGTCCTCAACCTGACCATTGTCTTCCTCCTTTCTTAGTGATACAAATGAAGTTGACATACCCTTGAACACCAGGGTGGGCACCAAGCGGTACATGGCTCCAGAAGTGCTGGATGAAAGCCTGAATAAAAACCATTTTCAGCCTTACATCATGGCTGACATCTATAGCTTTGGTTTGATCATTTGGGAAATGGCTCGTCGTTGTATTACAGGAGGTAGGAATTTGAATAGTGTTTCTGATTGTATTTCTTTACTTACCATTTTAAAAATAATTACCTAATTTATATGTCACCTGTGTCAGGACCCTGAGAGTTTCCTAGGACCACTCTCAGACCCTGTGGTTTCATCAGAATTACGCACATAGTTGACTAATGAGAAAGGTGCCAAGAGCAAAACTCAGAAAAATCCAAGACAGGTTTCTAACAGCCCTCTCCAGTCTATTCAGAGAGGACATGCTTAGATCCTACCTCAGCTATCTGTGATGAGGTGAACTATTGTCATCCAGACAGGCTCAGTCTGCTTGCCATGTACATTTGCTCTGCTAGTGTGTACTAGAACTCTAGCCTCTCAAAGGAAAGTGGGTTCAGCATAACAGCATTGTTTGCACTACACTATCAGCCAGAGAACAGTGGAGAGAGACTTATATTTGGGTCCCAGACAGTAGGCAAGGATAACCACATACATAGTTCCTTTTAAAGAGCAGCAGTGGGCCTGCTTTGTGAGCTTGCCCACAGGTTGTGGTCAGTCTTTGTCTTACAGCAGAGAGTAATAAAGACACTCACTAGTAGGAAGAAAGAAGTAAATAGACATTTACACTAAAAATTTTTTTAATTAAAAAAAATCTTATTTCTTCTCATTTCCTTTGGTTTTAAGTGTTTCATTACTTGTAGCCAGGATGGCTTCAAATCACAGTCCTCTTGCCTCAGAGGCTCGAGTACTCTACCCTCAAAAGAAACACTATCATTGCTTATAGACTTTCATTCTGTCAGAGCTAAGGGAAATAATGGGCCATAAATAATAGAAAACATATTTACTATTAAAAGTGAACCATTCAGATTGTATGTCTTCTTTGTGTAGGAACCCATTCTTAGTTCCACAGCTCAGTGAGAGATGCTGTGCATGTCCTTGGAGAGTTGTCACACTACTGTGGTTGTGCTCACTGTGTTTTCTCACTCCCGCAGGAATCGTGGAGGAATATCAATTACCATATTACAACATGGTGCCCAGTGACCCATCCTACGAAGACATGCGTGAGGTTGTGTGTGTAAAACGCTTGCGGCCAATCGTGTCTAACCGCTGGAACAGCGATGAAGTAAGTTAGAGCCAAGCCCCTGTAAAGTGTTCAGTGAGTACTGAGTTACTCTATGCTCACCACACTCTGTTTCCATTTCTCTTTAGTGTCTTCGAGCAGTTTTGAAGCTGATGTCAGAATGCTGGGCTCATAATCCAGCCTCCAGACTCACAGCTTTGAGAATCAAGAAGACTCTTGCAAAAATGGTTGAATCCCAGGATGTAAAGATTTGACAGTTAAACAATTTTGAGGGAGAATTTAGACTGCAAGAACTTCACCCAAGGAGTGGGTGGAATTAGCATGGAATAGGATGTTGGCTTGGTTTCCAAACTCCTTCTTCTACATCTTCACAGGCTGCTAACAGTAAACCTTTCAGTACTCTACAGAATACAAGATTGGAACTTCAAACATGTCATTCTTTATATATGGACAGCTTTGTTTTAAATGTGGTTTTTTGATGCTTTTTTGGTTTTTATGAACTGCATCAAGACTCCAATCCTGATAAGAAGTCTCTGGTCAAACTCTGGGTACTCACTATCCTGTCCATAAAGTAGTGCTTTCTGTGAAAGCCTTAAGAAAATTAATGAGCTCAGCGGAGATGTTGAAAGGCATATTTGCCTTCTACCAGAGAAAGCATCTGTCTGTGTTCTGTCTTTGTAAACAGCCTATAGCTTATGATCTCTTTGGGATACTTCCTGGTTTATGATGGTGCACCATGCCTTTGATATGCATACCAGAATTCCTCTGCTGCCAAGAGGCTTAGAAGACAAGAATGTAAAGGTTGCACAGGAGGGTATTTGTGGCCAGTGGTTTAAATATGCAATATCTAATTGACATTCGCCAATCTCATAAAAGCCATCTGCCTTGTAACTGTAGTAACTTCTCCACCAACTTTATTTTTAGCATAATAGTTGTAAAGGCCAAACTACGTGTAAATTGTCCATAGACATAGTCTGTTTTCCCCATTTCACCATTTTGTTCTCCTTTTGGTAATTATTTTTATTATAAAACACTTCCTATCCAGAATTGGAGCCCACCGTCTTGAACCATACTTGGAAAGAAATGCCTTTTCCTGGAGTCTGCCTTACTACTTCTGATCGAGATGTATATACCCGTGATCAAATTCTGAAGTCTTTGTTTTCAGTACCTCTTAAAAAGGGAAGTTGTTTATTGTTTGTAATGTGCTTTTATTTTCAAAACCTGCATAGCCTTCAGTCTAGCCATGTTTTCCCTACATACTCAATTTTATACCAAAACAGCTCACACGGGTCTCACATCTGATCCTTAATGGGAAATGTTTTAAAGTAGAACTGTGTATGAATTTGAGAATTCATGCATTTAAAAACTTCAAACTAAAGCTTCACTAAGATATATCTCATATCTCTTTTATGAGGATGGCTGCTGATTTTTCAATAACTGTAAATGTATTTTAGATAGCTAAATCTTTTGAAATTTGGTTTTACAATTTCTGGTCCCTAACTTGTGAAGACAGAGACAGAAGTACCCAGGCACTACCCATATTTACACTGAACATTATTAAATAAAATGATATGTATTTTATAGAAGCCTTGTTATCTCAAAGAACAGTTCTGGTTCAAATTTATACCAATATCATACTATTTAAATGTTCTAATCAAACAAGCCATGTGAGGGAGGATCAAGTGACATTGTCTCTTTGGATGAAACATAAATTAAAGGTGATTGTATCAAAACAGAACAATTGAAATTAAATGGAAAGCAGGTAGAGCATATGTCTATCTGTCCATCTACAGACATGATAATACCTACAGATCATATCCCACAAATTTGAGATTTGTTTTCCCTGTTTTGTTTAATGAGTCTCATCTAATGTACCTAAAGCCTGAGAACACTGAGGTCTGATTTTACCGAAGTTCAGTTAACCTGGGTATAGTTTTCCTGAATAAACTAAGTCTTGAAAGTCACTTACCATCTTAACAATATACCTATGTTTAAACTGGAGGCCACTGTAATGATTCTTTTCTACTTAGCATGCTCTAAGAGAAGGCTGTCAGGAGTTGTGAGGCAGGCAGTGAGTGCTGCAGTCCCTGCCTTCCCACGCTGCCATCACTGCACTCATGGGAAACAGTGACCTCTAAATAGCAAATGCTGCTGTTTTTCCTTATTTGGAATCCTAAAATTGAAAGTTGCATTAAACTTACTATGTTCTCCTCTCCTTCTTATTCTTAAATTTAAAATTCAGTAAGTCAAATATTTAAAGAATGTGTCAGACCTTTGGCCAGTGAGATAGCTCTATAGATAAAGGCACTTGGGCTGGAGAGATGGCTCAGTGGTTAAGAACACTAACTGCTCTCCCACAGGTCCTGAGTTCAATTCCCAGCAACCACATGGTGGCTCACAACCATCTATAATGGAACTCAGTGCCCTCTTCTGTTGTATCTGAAGAGAGCAACAGTATGCTCATATAAATAAAATAAATAAATCTTTAAAAAAATAAATAAATAAAGACACTTGCTGCCAAACCTTCCAACCTCAGTTCAGACTCTGGGACACACATAGTGAAGGGAGGGAGCCAACCCCCTAGTTGTCCTCTGACTTCCACACACTCCATGGCATGCCCCCCCAACACACAGCATGCACTCCACATTAACACAAAAATAACTTAAAGGAAAAAAGAATAGAACCCACTGTGTTATGTATTAAGTATTATGTAGTTACTTAATTAACAACTTGTAAGTATCTGGAAACTATGACTTGGTCCCCCTTTGAATCTAGAGTTTAAAAAACACATGGCTAAAATCAACCATCCTTAAAATAATTTAAAAATAAAAGCCCCAAACTCCAAACTAAATAAATAAATACCAAGTAATCCCAGAAGATGTCATGTGTGGTTTGTATGACCAGTAGTTCTCCGATACAGAGCATGTTAAGATTTGTCCCAACCTGATTCTCTGAGGTTTCTACAGCACTGAGTATAAAATCTGAACAGTTCTGAGTATAAAATCTGAACTCATTTCTCTGGAAATATTGTAACAAAAGACATTTTAGTCTTCGTGTTATGGTACCCTTCCAGTGTCTAGAAACTTTACTGAACCCATAAAATCACCTTTTGTTGTTATCAGCTGCTGTCCTGGGATGTGCCAGTTTTTATTTATTCATCCTAATGATATTCAATGGGGTTTTTTCTTTTTTGATGTTTTTCTTGTTTAGAATAAAAGGAGTAATTTTTCGAGAACTGTGCATATCTGATTTGGCCTAAGGTCAAATTGGATATTGGGCAGTCTATTCCAGGGCAGATTCAAAAGTGATATACTTGTCTTTTCAGCTGTGTATTGTTTTAAAATGTTTCCAAATGTCTAAGATAATTTCAGCAGAAGTGTAACTTGTGTGAAAAGAAGGGTGATGTAACCACACAAGTTATCTTGAGTCAGATGTTCAATAGAGACAGTTCTCTCAGCTCCTGGCTGTAAAAGGGGGAAACTAGGCAAGCAGAACTTGATTCTCTGGGGCATTGTATGAGCCACAGGGGACAGGAAGGGTCTTCCCATCAAGAAAGCCTGTGAATGTGGCTTTTGCAGAGAATTAGACATAATGCTGTAATTTTAGGTTGTTCTCTCTACTTTCCTTTCAGTGGAATTATTTAAGCTCGTTAGTGACCTTGGTTTTTCCCACATAAAAACTCAAATGTAGTATATGTTGTATAAAATGAAAATATTAATGGCTTAGGGAAACTGTACATAAGGCATTGACAGGTTAAAATAAAGCATTTTTATTATGCAATTGTAAAACATCAAAAATATAGATTCATCTTTGATATGTAACACACTAAATGTATTTTGTACAGCATCTGATTTAAAAGGTGCCTTATTAAGTTTACCATTAATTGCTTTATCCTATATACAGATTATGTCCAATGTATCATTTTTCAGTAAATAACCTTATTTTAGTATACTTCAGTGATGTGTTTTGTGATGCTGTTCTTGGATTTATTGTGTATCAGAAGTCAACTGTTGAGATTTTATAAGTAATTTAGTGTACATACATACGTTCCCAAGTGTGCATTTCAGCTTCTGGAAACCCGGCATGGAACATGGCCAGGTAAGTGCCACATGCTTTTCCTTTATGTAGATGTCAAACCTACCTTAATGAGGGAATTTTTTTTTCCTTCTATAAAAAGAAAAAATCTGGCCGGGCAGTGGTGGTGCTCGCCTTTAATCCCAGCACTTGGGAGGCAGAGGCAGGCGGATTTCTGAGTTTGAGGCCAGCCTGGTCTACATAGTGAGTTCCAGGACAGCCAGGGCTACATAGAGAAACCCTGTATCGAAACACCAAAAAAAAAAAAAAAAAAAAAAAAAAAAGGAAAAAGAAAAAACCCCACGACATTGTTTTCTGCTTATAAAAATGTGTGGTTATGACAGAACATTGGGAAACAGGAAAAGAATAAGCAAATAAACTATTCCATTTTATTGCCAGACACCACTATTTACATTTGAATGTTTCTCTGCTTTTTCTTTTTTCTTAACATTAAATCATGATACTCTGTTTCAGTTGAAAACACAGTTTATTGACTGGGCATGGTGGTGCACACCTTTGATCTCAGCACTTGGGAAGCAGAGGTAGGCAGATCTCTGTGAGTAGCAGAGACCAGCCTGGTCTACAGAGTGAGTACCTGGAAAAGCCAGACATATACAGAGAAACCCTGTCTTGGAAAAGAAAAACACCAAACACATTCACTCCATTCTGTTTCACTCCTACAAAAGAAGACCTTAGTCTTAGCTCATACAATCCTGTGCCTCCCAAGTAGTAAGGACTTCAGATGCATACCATATAGCTTCCCTTTAAAAATGTAACTTTCAAGCCAGATGTGATGGCCTTTGTGGATTCTCAATGAGTTCAAGGCCAGCCTACGTAGTTACACATAGGATAATCGGGCCCTGTCAGAGAGGAGAGGGGAGAATAAAAATAAAATAGAGGAAATAACTTATTTCTGTGACCTCCTTTTTGTCATTTTAATTATTTTTTTGTTTGTGATTTTGCTTTTGTTTTCAGAAGAAGAAAACAAGCTCAATGTGTATTTTAGCTCTGAGCTGTATCTTCATCCCCTTCACGATAAGACACATATTGAGCATCATTATACATAAACCCTATTTTCTCTTAGATCCTAAATGCAGATATGTATAACTTTATTAAAGGAATGTGAAGGCTCTTGATGTTGTCCTATCATCTTCAAACATTTTTGTTTTTACTATACAGGGTAGTATGTTCTTCAAGTCTTCTGTTAGATAAGGTGCCTTAAAGTGTCCTTACAGTGTTTGTACTGCAATTGAGGAAACCCTTGGATAGCATTTGTTTATCTAAAATGCCTTATTTTCCCACCTAGGTTGAGACTTGCCACCTGCCAGGTACTGGTTGCACTGAGTTCCTGTTTGCACCTTCTGCTGTTAGGAAGCCAGACTTGTTTCCATCTTAAAAGATTCAGCACTGGTTTATGTTACTTGACAGCATGCTTGGAGACTGCCCATCTCATGTTAGTGTAGAATAGTGTTTGCTATTCTTTCTTATTGTGACACAATTCTGAATAATCAGCTCAAGAGTAGAGAGCTTTGTTTTAATTCAGTGCGAGAGGCTGTTGGTCCAGTGATAGAGAAGGCCTGGCATCTGTGCTTGATCTGTGGAGGTAGGAACGTGTGACTGCCTCTTGTTAGTATATCTAGAAGCAAAGAGCTGAGGCCAAACCAGAAGTGGATAAACCCTCCACTTCTGTTAGCTAGGCCAAGGTTCAAGTTTCCACATACTCAAAGCTAGCTAGGAGATAGCTCATTCGTAAAGTGTTTGTCTTATAACCATAAAGACTTCAATTCCTAGAACCTGTGTAAAAAAACAGACATGGTGGTCTGGGGTCTGAGGTGGCAAAAGACAGATCTCCAGGCCAGTGAGAACCAGAGAGGCTCTCAGCAGACACATAGCAGCTTAACTGTAACCAGTTCCTGGATATCTGACACTCTCTTCTGGCCTCCCTTTCTTAGGTGTATACGTATGTTGTGTACCACATATGTGCCTGGTGCCCAAAGAGGCCAAAAGAAGATGATGGACCCTTTGAAACTGGATTCACCGGTGGTTATGAGCTGTGATATAGGTGCTATGAACTAAACCCAGGTCCTCTACAAAAGCAGTTCTTGTTTTTAGCAGTTGAGCTATCTCACCAGCACCAGCACTTCCCTTTTTTTATTTTTTGAGATAGGGTTTCTATGTTGCCCAGCCTGGACTTAGGCTGGGGCCCTCCTGCTTTTAACTTTACAAGTAACCTAGGACTACAGTTGAGTGCCATCAAGCCCAGCTAGAACTCCTGTGAGATAATGGATTCTGGATGTCTCCTCTATATTAATAGCCCTGATTAATTTATGTTCCATTCTAACCCCTATTTTTAGCCATGTACTGATTTTTTTTCAACTGCCAGATTTAACAGTTTTTTAATAATTTTCATCTGTAGGAACTCAAAAATATACTACAAGGGGTCCCAGTCACCTTTCATGCAGTTTTCATTAACATTTTGCATAACTGCTGTGTGGTGTGTAATTGGG